GGGCTGGTCGGCCACCCGCCAGCCCCTACCTCTTGCCCAGCAGGAGGCCAAGGGAAGGGCGGGCACAGCTGTTGCAGCTGACAATGGCCCCAACCCCAAGGCTGCAGCTGTCGTTGACATGGGGGAAGATTTGCCCTACACACCAGCCGTCTATGTAACTGGAGCCAGGCACGCGGCTGAACTGACCCCAAACTCCCTGAGGAGAGCCCTCCACACTCACCCCTCCACCCCCCTCACCTTGGCAGACTCCTCCCTCAGTGCCGAGTAGCGGCGATGCAGACCTGGGGGTGCGTGAGTGGTTGTGCTCAGGGAGAACCGCACATCTGCTGCACTGCCCATGTGTGACCTTGAGAGAGGGAGAGAAAGGACAGGCCCTAAGGACTGAGCCCCAGTGCACACCCTCTGGACCCAAAGAGTCAGGAGAACTTCAATTCAGAGACTAGAAGTCTTAGCAGGACACAGAGCTGTCACAAGTGTCTGAGGGATTGCCATGTAAGCAAGAGATCAGACTTAGTCTCTGGTGCTCCAGGGGTCAGAATGAGCCAGGGGAGAAAGTTCTAGGGAACAGCTTTCCGTATAGCATAAGAAGGATCTTCTAGCGTCAAGAGTTGGCTTACGATGTAACTGATGGTTTTCAACAAATTGAGCTCCCCATCAATGAGGCAGAGGCTCTCTGGCCACCCAACAAGAAAGGTGCAGGGGGGGCTCTAGGCACTGCGAGAGGTTGGAAGGGATGACACCTAAAGGGCTTTTCACTCTGAGGGTCTTTGTTTATTGGTATCCTCTCTAGCACCTTTCCTCAGACTGCCCATAATATGGACCGAGTTCCTGGCTGAAATTCAAGAGTGTATTCCACTCCTAAGAGCGTACTCCAACCCTGAATTTGGGGTTCCCAAAACAACCCTCTGGCGCATCTAGAAGCCTATCCTAGTGACACTTCCCATGCCTTCCTAGCTTGGAACCTTTGAGGGAGCCCAGGACAAAGGAATAGACTACATGAGAGAGCTGGACAGACAGGACAGTTCCTGCCTAACCCCCTCCCCTATCTCCCCTGTGGGATTCAGCCCAAATCCCACAATGGGGTCTAGTGATTCTACAGTCAAAGCCAAGAATTCCCAACCATTAAGGAAAGCAAGTAGTGGCAAATGGCTTGATGTACTCTGCCTGGGCATCTTACTAAGTGAAGTGTGTCCCTTATGGTCAGTAGGAAGGGAGAAGTAGGAGGAATCCCAGCTACTATAGCTGTCTCCAGTCTCTGCTTCTCTTCACACCTGTACCATAATTCCAGATGAATGTTGAGTTAGGGGATAAGCACTCAAGTCTCTACTACCCAGACACCCACAGGCTTCTCTTCTTCAAGCTCAGTGTCCCTTTCCCTGATTCCAGCACTACCTCTCTGCACATACATATGCAGATTTCCTCGAACTTTTCTTCTCTGTGGTAGCTGACCCCCATCTCCCTGACACAGTAAGAGCATGGTCAAAGGGAACCACAAGGGTTCTGATCTAAGAGACTATGGTTGGAGAGAAAACAGCTAGAAGCCATGAGCCCTGAGTAGCATCATCTACTTCAGCCTCCTTGATCTTCACCCTAACTCTCTGGACTGAGAACCGAGGACAGGCTTGAGGTCTGAGTTCAATGCCAATCACTTCACAAAATGAGAAAAATCCAGAGACATAGACTTAATTTAAGCCTTAAGAGGTAAGCTGCACTTACCATCTCTTAAAATATTTTCAGAAAAGGGGATGCCACAACCAAATGATTAACATAGCACCTCAGCTTCTGGTAAGGAAGTTTCAGATGCCTCATTTCAATCTCTTCTGCTGTCTTTCTGCCAGCTGCTGAACTAAGGTGGCCCTCGACTCTCAAGGGAACTAGAGTGAGTAGCACTCTACCAGAGGGACTTGTGGGACATGGGAAAGTAAGGACTCAGCAGACCTCTCTCAAGGGCATGCTCTCTGCTGGGAAAGCAGGAAGCACGGGCTGTGTCCCATGGCCGTGGGGAAGGAGCATGATCTGACTACTTGCCCCTCAGCACCCCTCAGAGGACAGGTGAGCCCTTCCAAACTTCCCAGCTGAGCTGGGTACTTTGACCAAGTCCTCCGAGCCTCAGTGTCCCACCCTGAATAGGAGGAGGACCCTGAGGTCCTGGGCGATCTTTTGGTGGGGGGAAGTCTCCTTCCTCAGGGTCCATCCAGGACCCCGTCCCAGCACGCCCAGCCTCCCACGCTCCAGTACCTGGAGTGGATGCCATCCACAAACGGCCCCCCTCGACCCTTCAGCTGGTCCACCTCTTGGCGCAGCTTCTCAATCTCTTCAGACAGGCGGCCCTGTGCCAGGCAGACCCGGGGTGGGGGTGGGGGCCAGGGAGGGGCAGACAGGAAAGGACGCGAGTCAGAGAGGGACAAAGAGGACAGCAGATTTGGGGAGAAGCAGGAGAAGGCACTGCAAAGTCCAAAGCCAGGGCCACGGGCCAGGCCCACAGATGACACCAAAAGAGAAGAGGTCCAACTGGAAAGTGAGCAGAAGGGTGGGCAGAGGGGCAGGGCCAGGAGGGGGTCTGTCTGGGGAAGGACTCTGCTGGAATAGGCTTGAGGCCCCATCGCCACCACACAAATGCAGGGCAAACCAGGCTGGGCAGCACAGGGCCCCACGTATCCTCCCGAACTTCACAGATGTCACTGAGGCAGGGCTAGTGGCTGACACTCCCAGATTGACTGGACTCTCGCCACACCAGGGTTTGAGGCCCCCACTAAATCCTTGGGTTGAGCTCTTTGCTGGGCCCTGTCTCTCTGCTGCCCACCCGATCCCCTATGCTATGGCCTCAGTTTCTTCTTTACCTGTGGGCAGTACTGTATCTACCATGATGGCTATAGTGAAGAATAAAGAAATAATGTATGCACTCGGACCAACATAGCAGCTAACACAGCACTGGGTATCAGAGCAGCTATGTGGAAAAGCTGTGCGTCCTCTCCCCGCGGCACTCCTGCCCTCCCAGGCCAGGAGGGGTGGCCGGCAGCCGGGTACCTTGTGGTGATGCTGCTCCTCGATCTGCCTCTGGGAGCTCTCCAACTCCTGGATCAGCGTGTTCTGGAGGAGAGCAGCTGTGAGCCAGGCCCCCACCCCTACCCCTGCCCATCGGGCCCCGGCCTTCCTCTCCCAGCACAGACCTGACCAGGGGCGCCGGCCCACCCCTCCTGCCCTCCAGGGGACCTTCGCTGGCATCAAGGCCCCGCCCCCTGACTAACCTCTCCCAGCCCGACCCTGCCCTCCAGGCACCTTCTCCTCGAGGGCAGCCATGCGCTCCTTGAGGTGGAGCTGCAGGCGCTCGTTGGACTCGCTAAGCAGCCGGTCCACGGTGTCTGACAGCCGCTTGTTGTGGTCCTCATTCATCTTCTCCCGCTGGCGCACCTGCACAGCTAGCCCGCCTCGCACCAGGCCATCCCAGGGCCGTGTTGCCGCCCTTTCCGGGAGCAACCCACTCCCACTGGGCTGCACCCTCTCCCCTGTCCTCCTCTTGTCCTCTAGGAGCCCCTCTCCAGCTCTCCCAGCCTCCTCCTCCCTGGTTCTATCTGGGGCTCTGTCCCTGGCCAGGCCCTGCCTCCGTGCCCTTCCACAGACCATCCTGGGAGCCTACCCTGGGGGCAGGGAGGGGGCCTGAGGGCCCAGCCCGGTGCCCTCACCCTTGCCAGCTCCTGGTTCTTCTCCTCCAGCTGCCCCTCCAGCTGGCGCAGGTGTTCCTCGATGTTGCCATGCCGTTCTTCAGCCTAGGGGCAGGGATGGGTCAGGGCAGCCTGTAGATCTCTCGGTCCTCCTGCCCAGGCCCCACATCCCATGCACTGCGGTGCCAGGGTGGCCTTGGGGATCAGGATCTCAGGCACAAGTGAAGCCAGACTTCACTTATCATCTTGGAGCAGAACCACCATCTCCCCACCTTCTTCTCAAACAACCTGACCCCTGCTAGGTCTCCCCTACCTCCTCCTGCTCAGACTTAGCCTTAAAACATCCTGGGGCTGGCAGCTCAAGAGATTTTAAATCCACCTCATGCTTCTAGGGAAACACTCTACCTAAAAGCATGAACTACCATAAATCTGTTCCAGAGAGGGAACAGCACCGCTGAAGAGCAGGGACTCATGCCAGACTGCCTGGGTTCAAATCCTGTCTCCCTCTCTTACCAGCTGTGTGACCTTGGGGTTGCTGAGCCTCTATGCCTTAGTTTCCTTAACTATAAAATGTAGATAGTAACAGCACCTATGCCCACTGGATCACTAAAAGGACCAAATAAAATAATCCACTGTAACACTTAAACATTTAGAACACAATAAGCACTCAACCTCTACGGTTCAACCTAGCCCAGGGGGCGGGGTCTCCCTCTCTATTCATGCATCTGCAAAAATGGAGACCCTACTCTCTCTGCTGACAAGATATTCTAGAATAATACACATCTTATGGACAGAAAAGCCTTCCTTAAAATCCTCTTGCTATGACTCATTTGAACATATTATTCACTTCAGCCCATCCCTTCTTGTCAGTTCCTCAGGAGACACCAAAGCTCAGCATCCCACATGTAACATCCTCTGCTGAAATGTAAACCCAGCCCTTCATTCCTGGAGGCTGGAAAGACCTCAGAGACCACCCCTTTCAACTCCACCATTGTAGAGGTTAGGACAGTGAGGCCCAGTTAGGGAGGGGGTGACTTTTCCCAGGTCAGAGCCAGTCAGTGGCAGAAGCAGACTTGGTTCTGGGTCCACCGAGGTACAGCCAGGCTGTGGGTTCCATTTCCAGAGCACTGGGCCAACCTCTATCCTTCAGGGCTCCAGGCCTGGTGCTTACTAAACACTGGCTTCTTTCTATCCATGGGTTGGAGGTAGCTACAATGAGATCACATTAGGCCTCCTGAAAGTCTGTGACCAGCCAAAAATGCTACAGAATTCTTTTTTTTTTTTTTTGGCTAGGGCTGGGTTTGAACCCACCACCTCTGGTATATGGGGCTGACGCCCTAATCCTTTGAGCCACAGGCACCACCCTCTCCAGAAGTCTTTTCATTAACTCACTGCATGTCCAAGTTCATGCATTTACCAGAACCTGTTATGTTTTTAGCCAGCACACTTCCTAGGAATTATTACTCCATAAAGGCAACTATCCAGTAGGTAAAATTATATTCCCTTTTATTGATCTCAAAGCTGCAGCCTTCAGGCCATCAGGGTGGTCCCTATATCTAGAATGCTTCAGCTGGGTAAAGAAAGACCTGCTCAGCTAAATTCCTATCCCTATCCCCATTGTGGATGTACAGACTCTGAACATGACCTCCTCTCAGCTTTTGTCTTCCTGGAGCTGAAAGCCCTAATCTTTCCACTCCAGCCCCAGACCAAAGAAAGGATTAATCACAATGGTGTAAATGGCAATAACAACACTGCATCTGCAGAGCGTCTTCTTCTTAAAGTACTATCACACCCCTTCTTATGGGATTGCCACATTGCTATAAGGTGATGAGGGCAGGGATTACTACTCCCAGCTGACAGGCACATGGCAGAAGTGTGTTTCCTGAAGTCACCAGTGGGAGGCACTCTTCTGGCTCCCAGCTCAAGGTGCCTCCCGCCCTCTCCATTCCCTGCCAGGCTCCCAAAGAACTTGTAACAGGAGACAAAGGCAGATAGATCCCAGACCCCTGGCCCACTTGCCTTGGTAAGGGCTGCAATTCTCTGGGCCAGCTCAGCCTCCACCTCTGGCAGCGTCTCTGCCCTGCGCATCGTCTGCTGCAGCTTCTGCTCTGCCACCTCCAGCAGCTCCTGTAGGTGTCGGGCCTTCTCCTCACACTAGCAATGTGGGGGTGGTGAGGTGATTCAAGTGGGAGCATGGAGCTCCACCTCCACCCCAGCCTCAGCAGAGAGCAGATGACAGGTCAGAAGCAGCAAGGGACAATCTTGGTTCACGGCTGCACAAAATGCCTGATTTCCCCTTTCCAAAGGTGACCCGCCAGACCACAGGGGCTCCCAGGCCACCAGGGAAGGTGCAGGCACAATCACCTGCCCCATCTGGAGGAGTTACCTGGCGGTGTAGGGACTCCTTGTTGGCCAGCTCATTCTCCAGTTTGTCATTGAGGTCATGAATGGATGTGGCCTCGCGCTGAGCAGCCAGGTAGCGCTTCTCCAATGTGGTGATTCGCTCCTCCATGTCCTCCTTCTGGGCCAGAGCCTGGGTGAGAGGAGAGGGAAGGTCACCAGCCTTTCCCTGCTCCTATCCTGTCAGCACCTCCCCACCAAGACCTGGCTGGCTGTAACCCAGAAAGGGACATGATCCATGCTCCCGTCAGTGTCTGGCCTTGACCCTCCCCTCCCATGACTCCTCCTATACCGGACCCTGACAAGCATCCAGTCTTGCCCTCTCCAGCCCTTAACTGGACACTCCCTGAAGACCCTCCCAAGTGCCAAACACCACACAGCAAGATGAGGCCACCAAGAACAGGCCCATCCCTTGCGCACCTCCCGGAGGTCCCGCTGATGCTTGCTGCTTAGCTCCTCCGACTTGATAAGGTCTCGGCGGGCCGTGCCCAGGTCCTCCTCAAGTTCAGTCACAGTTGCTGTCAGGGTGACCAGTCGTTCCCGGGCCTGGCTCAACTCAAAGTTCTGCTTCTCCAGGAGCTCCTGCAGTTCCTCCAACCGACCTGCCTCATCCTCCAGGGACAGCAAGCTATCAGTCTGTCTTGGGCACCCAGGGTATCCCACACCCATGTCCTGCCCCAGGGAGGTGGGAGAAGGGACACCCAGGGCAGATCACAGCTCTGCCCCAAGGTCAGAGCCCCAGGAGTTCACTCCTGACAATGACCAGACACCTTTGCTCTCTTGTGTATCTTAATACAACAATTTCTAGTTTTACCTGGAAAAGGACATGATTAGGGAAACAAGGGCTCAGAGAGTGAAGGAATTTTGCCTCATGCTGCCATACAAGGTTGATGTCATCTAATAATACACGTGTGCATATAGAGAAAGTGCCCAGCACTATACTGGGCACTAAAACAAAAATCAACAGATTTCTTTACAGAGGAGATGGGGGAAAGAAGGAAAAGGTGAGAATATTAGAGAAAGCCTCAAATTTAATTCAAGTAGTTACTCCACTGAATGAAGGCTGGGGAGGGCCTCCCACCCCTCACCTGGAAGAACACAGCTCCCAGGGACCCACCTTCCATAGGCGTTTCGGCCCCAGCTCCACAGTCTCCTCCTCTTCTGCAGCTCCATCCCGCACCCCTAGCCCCTGCTGCAAGGCAGACACCTGTAGGGCACAGCCCCCAAGACACTAAGTCAAAGAGAAGAAAACCTCCCATACATTCCAGATCCTTCTGAGCCCCCCTCCTAGAAAGAGGTATCTAGCCTCACCTTGTTTTTTAGCTACAGTTTGGGAGAAATCCCCGGAGGAATAGAGTGGGACACAGGGGTACACCAGCCCAGACTTTCACAAACTGTAGTCTGTAGAGCAAGGGTGGGCAGGCAGCTTACCTGCTGGTGGGCACCTGCCAGCTGCTCCTCCAAGGTAGTCACTCGCTCCAGTGCTGCCCGGAGCCGCTCTCGAACCTGCCCAAGGAAAGGGGAAATGGAGGAAGAGGCCCCACTGGATTTGGTGGGCTTAGCCAACCACCACTGGGCATCAGGGAAAATGAAGGGCCTGCCAAGGGGCAAATTTGTGGGAGGGAACCTAAAAGGAGGACCTTGTAACTGGGCCAATGGTAGGAGTGAGCCAGTTTTGAAGCTAGAAGGAAGGTTTTCCTAACACTGGAAGGAGAAACCTCAGAGAAGGGACAGGGAAGTCTGGCTACACGGGGGAGGGAGGGATGTGGGCACCTTCTCGTCCAGGGCTTTGTGGTGCTCAAACAGTGACTTGAGGGCCTTCAGCACCTCCACCTCACTGGAGACCCCTGAAGGCGACTGGGCCTGGCGCTTCACTACCGTCATCCGCAGTGACCGTTCGTGGCGGGACACCAAGCACTCCAAATGTTCCAGAAGCAGCTGGCAGAGGTGAGGCGGGGAGGAGGTTGAGAAGGAGGGTTGTGAGCATGTGCCCCCGGGGCTACAAGCAGGGCTCACTGGACAGACATGAGCACAGCCCTGCCACTGTGAAATGCCAAAGTCATCCACACTAGTTCATAGCTGCTGCCCAGCTGAACACCACCGCCTGGCCTCTTCCCCGTGATCCCAACCTTTCAATGATCCAGCAACTACAGGAGAAAAAGCCAGCACTGGTAGTTAAATGATTTGCCTGTCCCTCTAGGATGGGAGGCAGAAGAGGTAAGGATGGGGCTGGAGCTGTGCCTGGCCCCAGTCCTGCCTGCTCTCTGAGTGTTCACTCCCCGCCCCCCACACTGGTCATCCCC